TAGAGATAAGAACAAAAAAGCGCAACTGCAACATAAAGACATTGAACGGGCCCAAAGAATCTCTTTACAAAGTGACCATAAACCACGCCCACTTATTGTAAAAATGTGTCATTGGGAGGACAAGATGTACACTATCCGATTAAGGGAAACCCTTAGAGAAATGGGATACGGCGTTGCAAATGATTTTACATATAACCAAAGGCAAGAACTCAATAAATTACGAACTAAAAATCCGACTAAAATATTATTCTACAAAGGAGGCAAAATCGTAGAGGATGTTAGACGCGAAAGAGGAAATGACAACACACAGCAGAGTCAAGGTAGAGACATAAACAATAGATAAGGCGACAGGAGAGTCACAGGATCTTAGGTCAACCTCCCGCTCCCAGACCCCTGGTCGGAAGGGTGTGAGACAGGGGTATAGCCAGGGCCATGACAGTTTACGGGTGCTTCAAACAATTGTACCCCATAGTATTGTTACTACAAGCCCCTGGTTCGAATCGAAAAGGAAAAAAGAGACGTCTTGAACGTGACAATTCAGATGAAAATGTGACAGTTACAAAATAAAAAAATTATAGATTCCTGGTGATTGAGGCTTCTGATCATGAACTAATAAGACTTAATCCATTTGCTGTTTCAAAAGCTGTATCTGGAATTTGTGTTGAAGCCAAAAACGTAACTCGTCTTCGAACTGGCTTCATTCTTGTGGAGTGCGACCGGAGACAACAATCTTTAAATCTTTTGTCTGAGTTGACTAAGTTTGCCAATGTTGATGTTATTGTGTCCGCTCACAGGACATTGAACTCATGTCGGGGCATTGTTTGAGATAGGGCTCGTTGCCTGTCCGACATGTCTGAACAGGAGATTCAAGCTGAGCTGGAGGACCAAGGGGCAAAATGTCAAACGTTTCACCCAAAAGATAGATGGTATTATCAACAACACCAACACATATCTCTTAACGTTTGCCTGCACGTCAGTTCCACGTTCCATTAAGGCTGGTTATTTCAATATCGGTGTGGAGGTGTATATCCCCTCTCCACGCCGATGTTATACATGTCAAAAGTTGATGACATGGTTCCAAATCCTGCAGGTACACTCATCGTTGTCCTCGCTGCAGTGGGGATCATCAGAACAGTAGAGATCCCAAATGTGCGCATCTGTCCCTCTTGGACAATAACTGTATCCACTTATGAAAGTGACTCGTATGTCAGAATTATGTTTGTTGATTTTTCATTTTTCTGATATTAGCGTCAACTCGAACATCATTAAATGGGTGAATGCATTTAATGTCAACAGGCCACAGATTTTTAGTGTAAATGGGACACACTCATCCACACTTATAAAATCGACTGGGGCTACACAGGGCTTTGTTCTTTCACCAATATTATTTATGCCAATGACATACTATAAAAGATAATATGATGCATAATTGGTGAAATACTGGCGCAGCTTTCTTACATGACAATAAAGGCAGAAGTACACAGAAATGCAGTCACATTGTTTTCGTCTGAGGCTTAGCTGGGTACACATCGTGACGCAATGGATTAACAACAAATTCATGACCAAATTGGCCGGAATGGAGATGCCAGTTCAGTTCATCCCCACTGGCTAAACGCAACGTGATGAGTGAACTCAAGTCCATCCTGTGTCATTACATCCACTGCCGACCCGTGAAGATACCGGGGTAGAATAGGTCTTCAACAACCCATGCTTGCCGTAAAAGATGACTATGCTTGTCGTAAAAGGCGACTTAGTTGATGCATGTCATCGATCCCAATTGCGTAGATCGACGCTCATGATATTAATCACTGGATTGTCTGGTCCAGACTCGATTATTTACAGACCGCTGTCACATAGCTGGAATATTGCTGAGTGCGGCGTTAAACAACAAACCAACCAACCAACATCCACTGCCATCCTCTGTAATTTGTGTACACTACATAAGGTGCAGCATGAACGTTGATACTCAACTTACTAACAGTTTATGAGTGTTTACGAGAACACTGTTATGCCAGCCACGACCTCCGCCGACTAGGGCTGCACCCAGGTATGCACCATGGTATGCTGATGAGAGCCACCAAGAAAACTACGGCAGGAAACACATTCTTACGCATTCAAATAAGCATTCACGTATAATTCTACCCGTGAAGATCCGGGGAAGAATAGGTCTTCAGCAACCCATGCTTGTCGTAAGAGGTGACTAACGGGATCGAGTGGTCAGGTTCGCTGACTTGGTTGATGCATGTCATCGGGGCCAATTGCATGGATCGATGCTCATGATGTCAATCACTGGATTGTCTGGTCCAGACTCGATTATTTACAGACCGCAGTCATATAGCTGGAATATTGTTAAGTGCGGCGTAAAACAACAAACAAACAAACAAAATGTATAATTCTAATGAACAGGTATGAATCCTTATAATGAAATGTTATAATGAAATGTTATAATGTGATATAAGAAGAATTGATTTACCAAGCTTGGTCCAGTTGACAAACGAAAAGCTAACACATTTATATTACAATGTAAATGACCCGTGAAGATTCCGGGGTAGAATAGGTCTTCAGCAACCCATACTTGTCATAAAAGGTGACTATGCTTGTCGTAAAAGGCGACTAACGGGATCGGGTGGTCAGGCTCGCTGACTTGGTTGATGCATGTCATTGATCCCAATTGCGTGGATCAATGCTCATGATATTAATCACTGGATTGTCTGGTCCAGACTCGATTATTTACAGACCGCCGTCATATTGCTGGAATATTGCTGAGTGTGGCGTAAAACAACAAACAAACAAACAAAACGTATAATTCTAATGGACAGATATGAATACTTATAATTAAATGTTATAAAAAAGTGTGATATAAGAAGAATTGATTTACCAAGCTTGGTCCAGATGACAAACAAAAAGCTAACACATTTACATTTACTTATATTGCTAATGAATAGATATGAACACTTATAAATCGATGCTCATGATGTCAATCACTGGATTGTCTGGTCCAGACTCGATTATTTACAGACCACCATCATATAGCCGGAATATTGCTCAGTGCGGCGTTAAACAACAAACCAACAAACAAATATAATGAAATGTTAAAGTGTGATACAAGAAGAATTGATTTACCAAACTTGGTCCAGATGACAAAAGAAAAGCTTACACGTTTATATTACAATGTAATTATGCAAACAATAAAAACCCATAGAAAAATGCCCAATTGGGACGGGGGAAAAAGAGATAAATAATATGTTGCCTATGAGATATGCGTTTGTGCTGCTTGCTGGTGTGGGCGGAAGGAGACTTGATGCAGTCACGCACATCAGGGATCAATTTGCGATTAGTACTGGAGTAAGGGAGGCAAATCCACTTAACTGTGGTAAGTTACCTGATCTCCCACCTAAACAAATTTGTTTCACACTGGCTTTCACAAATTAGATTGTTTTAGTTCTTCAGACAACTGTTTTACAATTAATAATAGTTTGCTGACGTTGAAGCTGTCTGTATCTGTATTAGAGTTTCAGGAATTAATTATAGAACATTTGTTACCAATTTTAAAATGGTGCCAGGAAAACGATTTGCTTTGAAGATGTAGAAGTTGTTGATGAATATAAATACCTTGGCTATATCCTTGATGCAAAACTTATTTTTAATTCAAATACAGATCTAATCCTTAAGAAAGGCCAGCAGAGACCGTATTTCCTTTGCATCATAAGCCATTTTAACACAGATCAAATGCTTATGAAAAGGATTTACACAACATTTATTCACAACATTTTAACTTTTAACTTTATATCTGTACAACAGACCAAGAAAACGCCTTTGATCCTGAACTTATCGCAAGAGTAATTTTGCTGACAACATTTGCAGTATTTGTGCAGATGCCTGCCTGATGTATGTGGACACTTTAGTATCTGAAAAAGAATCATTTTGGGGTAAAAGGCAAAATAACGGTAAAAATTATATGAATGGATTACTGAAAATAGGTGATGGCTCTTTCATCAGTAATAAGTCAGTATCTTCTTCGAAATATATACCTTAAAATAGGTGCACACAAGACAGTAAAACATAAACTTTTCAATATTTCTTAGATACTCGCTTGTATACTGGCGTGAAGAGACGGAACCATTGTCATTGTAGACGGCAGGTGCTGCCTGGACTTAGGATCTATCCTCAGTGAGTACACTTCATGTTGCCAACCCATGGTTCCTTGTTACCATGTTGAAGTCTGTAGTTGGTATAGGCAATGGCAAAAATAGTTGGTTTATGTACACCTAAGCCTCTCTCCCTCACCTCCTACTCACAACTAAAACTGATGTGGTCAGTGTGCAAGGTCAGTGTGCAAAGTGAGGGTTTCAGTTTACTTTGTGGTTTAACGCCACACTCAGCAATATTCTAGCTATCTGACGGCGGTCTGTAAATAATCGAGTCTGGACCAGACAAGCCAGTAATGACATCATGAGCATCGATCCACACAATTGGGATCAATGACATTCATCAAACAAGTCAGTGAGCCTGACCACCCGATCCCGTTAGTCGCCTCTTACATAAAGCATAGTCATCTTTTAGGGCATATCGATTATTTACAACAAACAAAACAAACAGCAAAGGTATTGGCTACAGGCTTAAGGTTCAGGTTGGATAGTTATTGAATAAATACATATGTTATTGACGCTATTTTAATTTTTGAAGATTTATTATGTTGTCTTATAATTATATTAAAAGTTATCTTTTGAATACATCATTCTGTGACAATATACTCACAAGGCAACTGTAATTATGATTATATAAATTTTATAAGCACCCCTTTTCTAATAAAAAATAAGCGGTCATTTTTTTTATAGACACCAGTACACTTACAAGACAATCACAGAAAAAAGTAAGACGTTTTAGCTTTTGTGTTACTGAAATTCACAATTTTATCAATAAAACCTGACCAGTTAAATTTTGTCCTGGAGTACAAATTGACCTATTTCTCATTTTCTACTTATTCTTTATTATTTCAGATGTCCCGGAGACACGAGTTGCCACAGACTGACAAATAAACATGAAGCATGCAGTCTGTTATTTCTGTTTTCCTTCATTGTCTTATCTAAATAATTTGGTGATTTCGGAACTGAAAAGTAACAGTCTTCTTAAACATGAACCTTAAAACAAAACATATCAAGGTCTGTCATCGATGAAAAGGTCCCAAGCAAACGATGCTTGTGGTAAGAGGCGACTAAGAATATCAGGTGGTCAGGCTCACTTGATTGATGCATGTCATAAGAACCGTGAAGACCCAGGGAAGAATAGGTCCCCAGCAACCGATGCTTGTGGAAAGAGGCAACTAACAGTATCAGGTGGTCAGGCTCACTTGATTGATGCATATCATCAGAACCGTGAAGATCCGGGGAAGAATAGGTCCCCAGCAACCAATGCTTTTGGTAAGAGGCAACTAACAGTATCAGGTGGTCAGGCTCACTTGATTGATGCATGTCATCAGAACCGTGAAGATCCGGGGAAGAATAGGTCTTCAGCAACCAATGCTTTTGGTAAGAGGCGACTAACAGTATCAGGTGGTCAGGCTCACTTGATTGATGCATGTCATCAGAACCGCGAAGATTTGGGGAAGAATACGTCCCCAGCAACCGATGCTTGTGGTAAGAGGCGACTAACAATATCAGGTGGTCAGGCTCACTTGATTGATGCATGTCATCAGAAAAGTGAAGACCCAGGGAAGAATAGGTCCCCAGGATCCGATGCCTGTGGTAAGAGGCGACTAACAGTATCAGGTGGTCAAACGCTTGACTGATGCATGTCATCAGACCCACGAAGATCTGGGGTAGAATAGGTCTTCAGCAACCTATGCTTGTCGTGACAGGTGACAAACGGAATAGGGTGGTCTGGTCCAGACTCGAATATTTACACACCGCCGCCATATAGCTGGATGCTGCGTGAAACAACAAGCAAACAAACAAAGCATGTCATCGTATCCCATAAACACGATCTCGTATCTGACACATACACAGTACGACACGTAACCATTGATCTGCTGCAGCCTAACCATTGCAGTGATATGCATTCCCATTAAACGGAATTCAACTTGTACCATCTTCAGTTGGAAATTCTGACATGTCACTCGGTTGGGGCTCGGACGTTTTCTTCAAAATCCACTGAATAAAAGCGAAATTTCTGTCCTTATTCATACGAACGCTCTGCTACAAGGGGAGTTGATGGTACGATTCAGACTATATCATCAGCATGTGTCTTATGAATCACTATTAAGTAGCGAATGAGTTAAGATTTGGAGTCACATCGGCAGTACTTCAGTTAGATCGTGACAAGTAATAAAGTAAAATAATTTATTAAAATCTTTCGACTACGGGCAGTGAAACAATAAAGAGATTAAAAATAGTATTAGAGTATTCATATTGTATAACTATTCTTAGACATTACAATACGAAATATGTGTAAATATATAGATCAACCAAAGGTTGGTCACAATACCAGGGTTGAGTTGAGTTGGGTTTAACGACGCTTTTAACACTATTCCAGTTATATCGTGGCGTGTCAGCTTAATATGGGAGCCCGAAGTGATGCAGGTCTAAGACGTTTACCACTTCGGTGAAACCCACGAGCACGGGTATGGTGCTGACAAACCTAGAAACATAATCAGGGCGAACCGGGATTCGAACCCACACTCATAGTTTCTGGCGTGCCCAAGGGACGCAACTCTGCACAGCGAATCGCAGCACCTTAGATGACTGGGCCACCCATGCCCCCCACAATACCAGGTACCATGGGGACTTACAGTACTTTTGCTACCTGCATCGACCCTTCAGTCGCTGATGATAGTAAGCAATGTCAGCCAAAAATAAAAATGACATATATTCTACTTTTAAACAATGGAAGATATAGATATTCTTTATATAACATGGACTTATGATACTCTCTCGGGAGGCACAGCCACCATTAATCATAGTTAAAAATCATAAACTACCATTTTATAAAACAACAATTCGTTCATAAAAAATTATCGAACAATTCTATGTCTCTCATAATTGTTAAATGAGACCTAATTTTATTAAAAAGATCCTTTTATGGATGAAACTTTGAAACAGTTATCCCTTGTGATGCAAAAATCAACACAGTCAAGCAGGACATACTTGACCGTCCTTCTCTCATCACATGGATTACAAAATGGAGAATCGTCACCTTTCAACAAAAATTCATGTGTAGATCTGCTAAGCTATGGTTTTGTTTGTTTGTTGTTTAATGCTCCACTCCATCTTCAAGACCTGGTCAGTGTGCAAGGTGAGGGATTACTCCAGCTATATGACGGTGATCTGTAAAGAATCGAGTCAGGACCAGAAAGTCCAGTGATTGACATCATGAGCACCGATCCATGCAATTGGGACTCGATGACATGCATCAACCAAGTCACCTGATCCATTTAGCTGCCTCTTACGGCCAGCATTATCAGATTTCTTGGAACCTTTATTCTTATCCAGAATCCGCACAGTTGGGCCAAGGGTATATATCGTAATAGAATGGGGATAATATACACTGGACAATTGAGAATTGACAGGCAGCCCCAGCAGGAAGGGGAGACTCCAGCAGGTAGCCGCACAGCAGAACGAAGAAGTAGAGTAAGTATCGCCCTTATTCTTCCGATGTTAAAATTCACACCTCTGTTTAACTCGTGGGAGTTACTGTATAATTGTGGTAAGATGCTATTTAAGGATTCTGTGATTACACTTTGGGGACCTAGGTTACAATATGTTCCTGGCCCTCTATTCCTTGTCGTAAGATGCTATTTAAGGATTCTACAGACCAGGTTGTAGTGTAGAAGACGAGCATCCGTCCCTCTCGCACAATATCTATACCCATTTAGCAAAGTGTAACTCATGTGTCAGAATGTGTCATGGCTGCAGTAAGGTATATGGTATGCTGGTAATAGGCACTGAAACACCAAGAAAACTAGGGCAAGAAAAACATTCTTACGCATTCAAATGAGCATTTACGTATGTTGCTAATGAACAGATGTGAATAATTATAATGAAATATTAAAGTGTGATACAAGAAGAATTGATTTATCAAACTTGGTCCAGATGACAAAAGAAAAGCCAACACGTTTACATTACAATGTAAATATGCAAACACCCATATAAATAAAATATAAAAGCAAAATTGGATCGGGAGGTAAGGGATAACTGCCATGTTGCCTATGAGATATGAGTTTGTGCTGCTTGCTGGTGTGGGCGGAAAGATGCAGTCACGCGCGTCACGTGATTAGTTTGCATTACCCACACACTGGTGTAAGGGAGGCAAATCCACTGAACTGTGGTAGGTTGCCCGATCTCCCACTTAAACAAAGTTGTTTCACCCTGGCTTTCACAAATTAGATTGTTTTAGTACTTCTGACAACTGTTTGGTGACGACGCAGCTCCCTTGTGGCCTTATTAGAGTTTCAGAAATTAATTATAGAACAGAAATCACCAACTTCACAACATGGTGCCATGAAAACGTTACAAATCTTTTATTCACAGCATCTGAATGTTTAACTTTCAGGACTGGAATGAACTCTGTTTGTTCACAATCAAAACAAAATACCTTGAGGCATTTTAACATAGATAAAAAAAAGAATAGAATAGAAAATTCTTAGAAACTAAGTGACAGTACAGACGTTTTATTTTCACATCATGAATTTTCCCTTACTGATGCCGCCATAACATAGTCGCCCTTTACAGCAAGCATGGGTTGCTGAAGACCTATTCTACCACGTATCTTCACGGGACAAATACAATTGGGATACGATGACATGCATCAACCAAGTCAGCGACCCTGACCACCCGATCCCGTTAATAGCCTCAAACGACAAAGTATAGTCGCCTTTTAGGACGAGCATAGGTTGCTGAAGACCTATTCTACCCCGGATTTTCACGGTTCAGTTTTAAGAATGTTATGTTTTTTGTCTTCCCGTTTTTACTTCACTTTTGTAACTTAACTTGATTTCGAAAGTGGATTTTAGTCTCTGGGCGATTATTCTGTACAGTGTTTTACAACAGACAAACAAAACGTCTTTACTCATGAACTTATTGCGAGTTTAGCGTCAAACACGATGTTGCGACTGAGCCACGCCCTGGTCCTGATGCTGGTCCTGGTGACGCTGATGCCCGAGAGTGACGGTTGGTGGAGGAGGAGGCGTCGCAGGGTCGTGATACAGCAAAGCCATCATACCAACACCAACAACTGCCACTGCGGCGCAAACTTCAAGGAACTTCTAAACCTGTTGCTCACGTTGTTTAAACAGAACCTAGGAAGACGTGACGTTGCCACGATTCTTGATGTTGATGAAGGCGACCCACTCCTGGCAGAGGTGATGCAGAAACGTGAGTATTACAAGATCATTCAGCAATGATATGTAGTAGCTTATGGATTTAGCTATCTAACAAGTGTACTGTCTCCTATACTCATATAAAAGGGCTTAGTGACCCTGTTGTCTGATGCGACACAATTCGCTGTGCAGAGAGGCGTTTTAAACACCTATGTGCGTAGGATCAAACTCTAGATTCGCCCTGTCTGTTGTCTTTTCACCATGGGGGAAATATTTAGACAAGGAAAAATAACTCTTTTGTTAAAGTGCGAACAATGTGAAACAAAATTCGAGCATTAATAATTCAAGTTACATATTGTTAATATACGTGCACAATATTAACAGGTGACGGGATGGTTGCTAAAGAAGAGCTGTACGATGCTGCAAAACGAGCATGTAAGTGAAGCGAGTGAATTTATATTGTTTAAAATGATGCAGATGTTTTGTTTTGTTTTGTGAAATGTGTATATATTTTGGGAGAGAACAGTTTTCGGAATAATAAAAATATCACCTACGTTAGAATCGAGATGTATTATGCTGGATTGCAAAATTCCAGCTGTATGACGGCAGTCTGTAAATAATCCAGTGATTGACGTCATGAGAATCGATCCACGCAATTGGGATACAATGACATGCATCAACCAAGTTAGCGAGTCTGACCACCCGATCCCGTTAGTCGCCTCTTATGACAAGAATGGGTT